GCTTCGATGATTTCAGTCGTTCATAGAAACTTCATAAAAAAGCGATGGTTTCCATTATTACAAACATTCTGTAATCATATCGTTTTAACGTTAAAAAAACTTTAAAAAAAAAGAACAAATATACATAAATGGATCGTATACCAGATATTTCTATGTATTGATAACGAAGTTAACTTCTTCTGTTACTTCGATGACCAAATCAAATTCAATCTACATATTATTAGATATTTGTTGTTCGAGTTTTTGTATTCTTTACACTAGTTTTCTCTTCAGAGAAATTTAATCACATGTTCAATGTTAGAACACTTTCTTACAAGACAATTATGTATGTCGTTAATTATTTTATTTATTAATACTTCCTGCAGATTACTAATATTTATTTTAAGGTTATTTTTTCATAAGTGGATGTTTTTTTGGAAAAAGGGAAAAATCCGTTTCATTTAACAATTTGGTGGTAAAACATTGTCTTCAAAAAATCCTGGATCAACAATATTTCCACCAGGATAATAATTTGCTACAATATAAACTTCACGTCCATCTGGTGACTGAGCTATTCCAACACCCATTTTTCTCGATGATCTCCATACCATTTGTGTGAAATGACCGGTTTCTGATGAATATTTTGGTCTGTCAAAATCATGCATTGCTATTTCTTCATACCAACTTTGTATTGCATCTCTTGCAGTAGCTTGTGCTGGACCATAAGATATCCATTCCATATATAGATTTTCTCCTAAGGGCTCATCTCCAAGTTTATTTCCGCTATGTTCGAATGTTGATGTAGCTGCTAAATATTCAGCATATGATTGAGCTATTTGATTCAATCGTTGATCAATAACAAGTGGTGGTGCACAATGACGTGCACGATGATAGTTATGTAATTTTAGCATATCAGCCTGAAATTTCGAATACGATGAACGACGACGATGACTCCTATCTTTAAAAATAGAACAATGCTTATTTTGATTTTAATATTCTCATCAACATACGATCTCGATGATGTCTTCCATACATATCTACAGGATACATTTGTGAATGTTGATAACGATGTCGAGGTTTAGGAAACGATTGTCCATGATGATGATGATGATGACCCGAGTATCGTGTTGGATATGCCATAAATTTATAAAATCTTGGATCCCTAAACAAAGATATATTGATGCAAAAAAAACTCTCGAACAAATATTTACATTGATATAGTGAATATTTTCAACCAAGGTTTAATTTAAATGTGCAGCAAAAACCACCAACCAAAACAACACACCTGTATGTTAATAGATGTTTATATAAATTTGTGATTCTCACATCATTTATATAATTTCACGTATGAATGCTTCGAGTCATGATATCAACACAGAATATAAGCAATACTATGAGAAATACCAGTAAAACATAATGAATTTTTGAAAATATTCATAGTATCAGGAAAGAAAATCAATATAAATGAATAATAAGAAAGCAAAAAAAAATACGTATGTTATAATTGTATCTTCATAAACCAATGACTTATTCTCTTTTGTTCAAAGTGATTATTTCAAATTTTAAGAACAATCAGAATTTTTAGAAGCTTGAATCTGACGACAATTAGCAGAATACATGCTATCACATCTCTATATTCGTTTGACTTGTCTACGGATATACTAGTTTCAATTATGTACAATATCATTAGAAAAAAATGAAGTGACGAGATAGTAAATATTGTAGCACGTACATGACTCATTCTATTGAATAGATGGTAATCTTTGAATGATCATTGCATAGTATAAGGAGAAAGCAAAAGGAGGTGATGCATAATATGAAAAATATGTCTATCACCCTAGAAATTTTTTAAAATATATATACAGTATGTAAGAGCATGTTATTTTGCATATAGTGACTTGGTGAATTTGACTTTTTATTAATGATAGACAACCAATATAGGTCATTGACTCATGAATTCGACGTTATTGCATTTTCAAGAATCGAAAAACGCGAGTTTTTCTATCCATCAATATTTTTAATATTGAATGCTATGATCTTAAGCGCTGGTGCAACAAGCTCTAGATAGGATGACCATTTTTTCTCAGCAACAGAAAATGAACGATTTATAAAACTTTTTAGAAAACTACCTTGTTCAAATAATATCGAACTTTATCGCAATATGGATTTTGTTGCATGGTAAGACATACTCGTTTTGTTTTATTCTGGCTGTTGTCTTGCGTAACAATTGAATGTTTGTAAAAACATTTCCACATTGAAATCAAGTTCTGTATCGAAAAATAATTCGAATGACATATATTTCGATCCAAAATATTCTTTCATCAAGAGGTACAAAGGTGATAACAAGAAAAAACCTATTAGATCTATTTTGAAATGTGACTGGAAATTTTAAAAACTTTATACGTCGAACATGAAAGTCTGTTTTAACAAAAACTTGTAGAACTATGTAAAACTTTTCCAATCTATTCAAATGACAATTAATTTTTAATCAATCATCTTTCATTTTGATAAAAGCTCAGTTTTTGTACTAAAATGTAATTCTGAAACTATGTGCCCTAATTTATAAATATAAATTCCACGTACTTTTCTCAAAGTACAAGTATAAGTACTTCTACCTACCAAGTGTAATCAATATCTGTACTTGCACTTTGAAAAAAGTACTTGATATTTATATTTTCATTCGAAAAAGTACAAGTACATTTACTTTTGTCCGAGCTCTAAAGACCTGAGGGGGGCACAAGAGTCTTTGCGTCAAAAAATATTTGTTTGTAGAAATATATATCACTTGATTTAGTTTTTAATGCGAAACTCGAATCTATAATGATAATGTCTTTTCAAGCATTGATTTTTGCGCAAATGGTCGAGTACGAGCTTGAAATTAACCAATAAGAAGATGCTTTACCAAACAAATACAAAGAGTTTCAAGACACCGTGTTTGAAACAGTAGCGCAATTTTAAAGCAAGTTGCACGAATATTTTTATTTTTTGTTGTAGAGTAAATTCAGTCGTATTATCAAGAACTAATTGTATCAGTGTCGCTTCTACCGTATTCTAAGTCATATATATCTTAATAGAGAAAGAATTTATCAAATGTCTATAACGTTTTGTAGAGCGAATAAAGGCACATCTCAAGCCACAGCATTCAATATCAAACATAGGTATGAATAGAAAAAAGTCACCCATCGCAATTCTTAAACATACATTCAACCTGAACCCAGAAGCCGCTCAGTGTTATCGACTTTTCATCATTATTAGAAGTCAAATCAATCAAGTCACTAGATGAAGAACAACGTAACTTTTGAAGCTGTATATATTTGATAAAGCTTCTAGGTTGTTTGGTAGACTTCGCATCTTATCGTTTGACATTTTTTTAATTTAAAATATTTATATTTATTGTAATTTAATTCTAGTTCGAAAATATGAGCAAGATTTATTTTTCTTGCCGTATCGTTGTTGACTACAGCTCGTCGAGTTACATCAGAAAAAAGTATTTTTCAGCCTATGATCTCGAAATCGCTAAAACAATTGACGATTAATCGTGAAATGAAACAAGATAAATAGATGATTTTTATAATAAGCTAGAGTTTTATCATCGATTTTTATTCTTTATTTTATTGATAATAGAAGTTATTTTGTTCATGTAATCTAGATTTCTATTATTATACCGAGCAGTTTCTCTTGTATTAATTTGTGATGATGAATACTTTTATTCAATTTTAATTGTGTCCTTTATTTTATGCTAACAGAACATATTATAAAAATTAAAAAAAAAACGTTCATATATTCATATGAATATTTTGAATTGGGTTTTTCTCGGAAATTTCTGCACGTCTATTTGTTTTGTTTTGTAAGTAAATTAAATATCTAAAATAGACAAAGGCATAAAAATTGTAATTAAAAAGCAAGACTGAAAAGATGACGATAGAAACCGGTCATTTTTTTTAAGACAAAAACATAAGTTTGTCAACTTTATATTAATATAGAATTCAAAAATTCATCTGAAATTAAATCTAAAAATAACGAAATTTGTTGATATCAAAACACATCTGAAGTTGAAGTTAGATTAAAGTTTTATGTGACACTAATCGATATCTTTCGATGGAAGTAAATCTTAGCATACAATAGATTTTTCTTAACACTATATGATATATGGAATATTAGACGACGCAGCTTTTGATCATAAAGATTTTTTATATTTGGTTTATAAAAGAAAAAGTTATAAGTATCATAGTTATTATTATTTTATCTTTCTATCGTTATTGTGAGTGAAATTTAGGACTATGGCAGATTTCTGACTTTGTGTACCGGTATCCTCTATTGGATAAGACATTGTATCATTCATCATTTGCTTTTATTTACGTTATGTTACCATCATTCAAAGATTATTATCTATCTAATATAACGTGTGACGTGTACTCCTACATTCAATACATTATCAGCTCTTTTTTTTTTCTAATTGCGAAGGATAAATAAGCAGATGAAATCGACGTAAATAACTGAAGTTACTATATCTGTCCATGAATCAAATCAATATAATGTTATGATAACATGCATTCTGTCAATTGCGTTTGAATTCAAGGTTTTCTAAAATGTAGTTTTTCATAAAATTTGAAATAACTACCGTAAACGAAAGAAAATAAATAATTGCTTTAAGGAGATCCAGTTATGACATTGAGTTTTCTATTTTGTTATTATTTATTTTTTGATATTGTTTACTGCAATACGTTCAGCATTTTTCAAAATATACTTTGTTTTTGCACGTTACGCAGTGATTGTGATATTGTGCCACGATATCATGGTTCGAATCACTCACATATTATGCTATATAAGCAATACGACAGTCGCGTATCTACATAAACATTCGTTAAAATACAAGTGTACTATTCACATAGATTGCTTTTGCTGTATATTTGAGCTAAACGTTACTTGAAAACATATATTGCAGCAATGTAATTATTCAAACTAGTGTACTTTCGTTTATAAACATAGTTTTATTTAGGGATCCAAGATTTTATCCATTCATGATGCGTTTAAGTCGACAACCCAATCGCTATCATGGCAAACAATATATCCGTAAGCCTAGATATCATTATCCACAGCCACTAACGTTTTATCTTGATATGGGCCCACTACCTGCCCGAGGATATAGACAGAGTATGTTGATAACAAAAAAAAAATGAAACAAGAATTATTCTTGTTTTTCAAATTTTAGCACGTATTCAACGTTCAATGAATTCAAAGTTTCAAGATGATATGCTGAAGTTACATAATCGTTATCGTGTACGCCATTGTGCACGACCACTTACTCTAAGTCAACGGTTAAGTCAAATTGCTCAATCACATGCTGAATATTTAGCAGCGACATCAAAATATGAATATAGTGGACATACTCTTGAAGATGAACCCTTAGGAGAAAATCTGTTTGTAGAATGGGCAAATGAAGGTCCAGCAAAAGCTTCTGCAAAAGCAATAGTAAAATATTGGTATGGTGAAATACCACAGTATGATTTTGATAATCCAAGATTTTTACAAGAAACTGCTAATTTTACACAAATGGTATGGAAATCATCGAGAAAATTGGGTGTTGGAGTAGCTTATTCACCTGATCGAAGTGAAGTTTATGTTGTAACAAATTATTATCCAGCTGGAAATATTGAAGACCCAGGATTTTTTGAAGAAAATGTTTCACCACCAACTTGCTAAGAAAATCAATTTTTTCTTTTTTCAAAATAAAAAACATACACTTATAGAAATACAAATTGATAATACATGTTTATATGTTTTAACTTGACATTTTTTCAAGGACATATTGCAATAACATTAAACGATAATAAATCGAAGAAAATATAAGACTAATTATCTCAAGGAATAAAGTAAACCTCAAAATGACAAATATAATTCGAAATGCATCTTTTTCCTGTTCTTTTGAAAAGCTATTAGGACAATCCCTCCGTGACTAAAATGTAATTTTTGGTTAATCCTCCAAAAATGAAATAACAAAATATTTCATATATTAGGATGAGACGTTATTGATATATAGTTTGTGACAGAGATGTCCATCGCGGCTGAAAATCTGCCGCTGCCGCGCCGCGGC